CCCCCCCCCCCTCTCGCTGCGTGTGAACAAAAAGCTGAGGCCCGACAGAAAGCCGCGGAGAGATCGGTTTTCCAGGCGCTGCGTGCGCTGCTGCTCCCGGAGGAGACGTCACGGTTTGATTGAAGCTGCGCTCGGCGCGCTGGCCTCCCGGGACTTCGCCATGAAACGGGAGAGCCGCCCTCCCCTCCCTCCTCCAGCGCTCCACAAAGCTTTTTGTTTCGATGAGGTCTGGAGCGCACGGGTCACTTCCCCACAGAGCTCTGCGCGCCCCCTCCCCCAACGCGCGCGCGCATACACACACACGATAACGCTCTTCCCTCCCTCCTCCCCCCTCGGCGCTGTTTCAGGAAAGGACGGGACTGATCGCGGATCCGCCTCAGTGGTGTGACACATTAAAACCGATGTTCCTGCACCTCAGTCACCCCGAGTCCAGTTCTTGAACGTTTAAAACTTTCCCAGCTGGAACTAAAAGCAGCGTTTTTGCGGGGTTTCAGAGCAAATGGGCAAATTAAAATCCAAGCAAATCTCCGACCGATCAGCTCCCTGACCTTCCCGTGGCCTGTAGGGGAAGATTGATTTAGCAGCAGAGCTCCGATGACACACCTCCTCACCCCTTCCTCCTCTTCCTCCATCCTGTGCGCCTGTTCAGGCACGGTCTTGATCAAGGCTTCTGGTTTGTTTTTAGACGTTGGTGCCTCGGGCATCTCTGACGAAACCCCATGGATTTTTATTTTTTGGCTGCGCAGCAGAGGGGTAGGTGGGGGGCTGAAAGAGAGCAGTTTTATTGCACCGCCTGGCTTTCAAAGCTGGAATTTGTTATCTGCTGTGTGGATGGATGTGCTGGAGTTCTGCTCCTTATAGCTCCGACTTGATGCTAAAGCACACTTTGGACTCAACAGTATGAGTCTTTTGATCTATCAGGGCTCATAAATGTCAAAAATGTAGAACCAAAACAAAGTCGGGCTCCTACTGTCGCTTGAAGCATTTTCAGTTTGGGAACAGCTCGTTTTGAAATGGGGTTCTGTGGGAACGCTCTAAAGACTTAATATCTTTGTAATTAGAGCTCTGAACTGCCTCAGTCTGAGGAGCAGGACTGACGAGCTCCAGGCTAGTGTGAATGATGGGTGGAGTGTGCCAATGTAACCAGGCCAAATAGGCCTGGATATTTGATATACACTGATGGGATGGTGAAAAATCCCCTACCTGTGGTGACCTGCCGATACCAGAACACCCCCCCAATCTAAAAACTGTGCCCCAAACATTTATGACTTGAATCCTATTTCATCTCCAGTCTGTGGTGCTAATAAGTTTATTTCAACTTAGATTTAAATAAATTAGATCTAAAAATCTGAGCCTAAATGACCAAAATTGGAAAAAAGCGTGTCTGGTTTCTTGTTCCCATAAAGCCCTTTTATGGACATATTTTTAGTCAATTTTGTTGTTCATTTTGCAGATTAGGAACACTTTTAACCAGTGAGATGAGAAAAATATATTTTGCTGATTTATTTATTTATGTATTTCTTTGTCCTTATATATTTGCCACAGAACCCAACTTTGAATCTCGTTTTTTTATTTAGGATATTTTCTATAGTATAAGATGAAAGTCATGACGGCATTTAAAAAGTGTGAAGCTAAGCTCCAGTGAACCCGTGCATCTCTGTTACAATCGGGTCGTTTGGTGGCATAAAGAGCCATTTAGTCTCATTTGGCCTGGGATGAATAGAACCAGTTCAGCGGCCACCACCCGGGCCCCAGTGACATCCACAAGGGTGGTGGTAGTGGCGATGGTGGGGGTGCTCACAATATCCCTGTTGTTGCACTGTGCACCGACTTGCATGCGGCTGTGTAGCGGGTCGGGAGGACGCAGGGACCCCTTGTTTACAGCTCGAATAATGTGACAGCCGCCATGATCTCCCTCCGTCTCTCCCTCTTTCTGTGTGCTAAATCTGAAAAATGAGCAATAGCTTGTCAACTTTTCACAAGGTCTTCATTGTGATGATCGGTTGGACTATTTGGCACGCGCTCGTTTGATAATCAATAACAATTAACAATGTGCTGCCCCCCCCCCATTATGATGCTGGGTGTTGATGGTGATGAGAGTGTGGCCTGAGGCACAATAGTTTGTAGCCAGACTGCACTTCTTCTGCTCCTTTTGGATAGTCTCGATTTGTGCACTCATTTCTGTTTTGTTCACCTGCAGCATGTGCAAAATGCCCTGATTTTTTTCCTTCCATGTTTGGGCAAACATTCACTCTGTGTGTGTGTGCGTGTGTGCGTGTGTGTGTACCTTTAATCCATGTTTATCCTCACCCCACCCTCATCGCTGCAGAGATTATCCTGCGTCACAGTACCTTTTTTTTAGAGCTGATCGGAGCTCTGCGCTTCAGAGAATCTGGCAGAGCTCCAAGGACAAAAAGCAGGAGGGCGCCTGGAGCTGACGCGCAGTCAGTCCTGCATTATTTCCCGTCAGTGGCGGAGCTAGAAGTTTTTTTTCTTAGGGGGGCAAAGGTGAGGTTACAGCAGGGGGAGCAGCATTTACACAGGGAAGTTGTTTTCATTGCACCTAATTTTACACCCTCGAGTTATTTATCTAATTCTTCAAATTAACACCTAAATGAGAGCTATTTGTCAACCAGTTTGTTTTCCCCAGATTCAATAAAGACTCATCAGTTTCTGTCAAATGTTTATTTTAACATTTGATAGTCTTGAAACCGTCTCAGATTTGTTCACAAAAGCCATTTCCAAATTTAATATTGGTGTATGCAAATTCTTTATCAGTGATTATGATGAGGATTGATGTTCTGTGGAGACGTCCCTGACCTTCAGCATTGAGCAAAATATACACAAATAAGAAGCTATAAATAGTGGCAATCCTGTGCCATATAGAACTTCCACTATTTCTGACTCAGCCAACATTATAAACAAGAACAGCGCAGAAATAGGATAAAGTCAGCTCCTAACAGTTGTTTTCACTTTGCATGTGCGTCATTTGGTCATTAATAGCGTGGAAAGGAGGAGGTGACGCTCCAAACTGGTGATAACGTGCTGTGGAGATACTGTGGTGGGGAAGAGAGGCCTCCGCCAGGGAGGAGACGATAAGCCAAGCCCGTGTTTGTTTTTTTGTTTCCACACATGGAGGTCATGGAGAAGTCAGGTAGAAATGGAGAAAGAAAAGGAAAATGAGGCCGAAAATGATTTTATTTATAAAAAAAAAATAGTCATTGCTTTCCCCTCGTTGTTTACACAACAACCTTTCATAAGAAACAACACAGGAATACCAAACCCAGTTCCGCCAGGCACCCGGTGGTTTTCTGCTTAATTGTGCGAGTCGGAGCAGCGCTCAGCGGTCTGTTCCTTAAATGCAGCCCCCCTCCTCCTCCTTGTTATTCCCCACCTTCCTCCTCCTCCTCTTCCTCCTCCTCGCCGCCGCTGCTGCTGCTGCTGCTGTGTGACGGATTGGTTGGCCCTCGGGAGTTGTTTGTTGCCCAAACTATTCTTAGCTGCAGGGCTGGGCGTCCACATGCAGCCTTCTCTCCTACATGTCTCAGTGTCTCTCCGTCCTACTCACGGTGCGATAATATATTGGAGTTTTTGCCCCAGAAAATCCTCAGACAGCAGACTCCCTGACTTCTATCTGAAGGCTGTAGGACATTTGACTCCCTSAATACCTGCAGCTCCTCTCTTTCTTCCCTTATGGACTCCAGTTATTGTTATGAATGTTAACACTTAGCTTAAAATATCAGAACGTATTTCAGTTTTCGAAGAACGTTGGGCATTGGCACTAATATTTATTTTTTTATGCTAAATATGCTCAGTTTAGTTCTGCATGCCACTAGGTGCTCTCCCCTGACCTTTCACCTTTGCAACCTCTGATCTCTGACAGATTTTTGGCCAAGGTACAGATTTTTATAATGCTTGTTGTAAACGTATAAGTCTTTATTGTTTTAAAAGAGACATCAAACGGATTTAAGATGGCTGCCACAACTAATTCCCCTTAACATAAAAATGTTTATACCTTTGTTAATTTTACAGAATTTTAGGTGTGGTGGTAGCTGAGAGTCATTCACCTAAGATGATTTCAATTCAAAACTCCTGTGCCAGGCGAKAAGCATTCCTTCCAGTCTTTAATTTACTTAGTTATGTCCCAGCTGCTGCTTTAGTTCTATGAAATGAACATTTAAATACTAAATAATTTAAGCCAACGTGCAAGTTGTTGGTTGATTATTTTGGGTTTTATCCTTCGCTCTTCTCCGTGCGCAGACAGACAGGGTGCGTCTAATGTTCGTCGCTGTACAGGAAATGGGACAGATGTGATTTCTCAACATGGTCTGCACTTAAACGCACACAGGCTTTGAACCCTACACACACACACACACACACACACACACACACACACACACACACACACACACACTGTTTCAGTTCTGTCAAATGTTTTTGAAGCAGGACTGACTGCGGGGAGCTGAGGGTCCTGTGTGGGGGGATGGGGATGTTGAGACAGGAGGGGGGAAAGGCTGTGTGGGCTGTGGGTTGGGGGGGGGGTCTCGGCAGGCTGATTAATGTGCCCCGGGTCACAGCAATAAAGTGGTGCGACAGCGAGGCGTTTCTTTGCAGTGATCAAGGAGTCGAGCTTCCCCGCCGCTCTCAGCGCCAACGAGCGAAGCCAAACCTCCTTTTTTTCTATTTAAAGCAAATTATAAAGTGGCTGCCTCTTACTTCATCCCCGTGCTGGCTCTTTTTAACAGGTCTTTTCTTTAAAAATAAAAAAGTCCACATTAAAAAACGGCCAGGTCATTTTTAAAACATATGTAAAATCTACCAAGAGGAGGAATACTTTCACATCTCAGTTGCTGTTTTCAAAATCAACCAGATCTATCTGATAGTGTGAAGATATCACTTGTAAAACTACTGTATGTTTGTTCATGTTGCAGTTGTCACTTGTACAAACCAATTTAATGTAGTCTGCTTTGATTTCCTCTTGTGGTATCTTTGTACTCTGTATTGTACTAACACATCTTTATCTTAGGGGTGCACAGGTAAATCGTCTGTCCGATAAATCCAGTGTCCATTTAAAACAAGTTTTTGTTTCAAGGGTATTAAATGTGTATTGTGACTAACACCTAACAGTGTCAGTTATTTAAAATAATCTGAATCGGTAGGTCGGGCTTTATAAAGATCGGGATTGGCCAGAAAACTGCAATCAGTGCATCCCTACTTTAACTCCCTCTGACATGAATATTGGGTGATCATGTATTTGCTTGTTTCTGTTAGCAAAACATTTTAAGAACCAGTCTACCGTTTTTAATGAAACTCAGATAGTAACCTTCTAAAACCGATTATCTTTTGGAGTCAACCTGATTCAAGATGGCTGCCACAGACAGATTGGCCTTTGCAAACATTAATGGCTCAATCTAAGATTTAAAGATGTGAGCTCTATTTTTTCCCCAAGTGTTAGTCTTTTTTCAAATTTTCTTATTGCAGTTTGAATGATTTTAGTCTTTATTTTTCCTTTTTTTATCAGTTTGCACCCACTGGATATGTTTACAGGTTTACTGACTGTGTGAAGTTTTTGATCCAAAAAAGTAAAATAAATATTGTTTAGTAAATTAAATGATGCTTTGTTTATCTGCTTGTGATTAAAAATTTCAAAGATGTGTCAAGTCACCTCCTATTTGTCAAAGCCGTCATGCATTTTGAAGCTTAGTTTTTGGTTCGTCATACAAATGTTCCAAGCTGTCTCTGTTYTCGTACACGCTTTGATTTTGAGTGTGTTCTGCTGTGAGTGTATTGTTGATTCATGGCTCTGTGTTGGCTGGTGGTAAATGGTCTCCTTCCAAAGTGGTCTGCAATGCATAATCTCCCCTCGCTCTGCTGGGCTAGGCAGTTGAGAGCACAGGTCAGAGGGGGCACAGAGAAACCAGAGTGYGAAGAACGTGACTGAAGAGATGTGGCCCCACCGTGCTCGTCGAGTCTCTGAAGCGTGCAGATTTGGGGCTAGAAGGGTGAGGCAGGGGAGCCGACGCCATACTACAAAGAACAGTGCCACTGTGTTTCCTCTACTTTACTGTCATTAACCTGCACCTAGTTTTAAAAATGCCACTTTTTATTTTTAACTTTTATATAATGAAGCAAATCCCACTGAGATTGCACATCATTTTTCCTGGGCCTGAAGGCAGCCTAAACATGCATGTTTAGGTTTTTGAGAGTTTTAAAAGTGATAATTTTGTCAAAAGTGTTAATGGACATGATGTAGCAGCATATCAGAGGTGGTGTGCTTGTGACAGAGCCAAGCCACTGACTGCTAGCTGTTTGCTTATCTCCACAGGGCAACATCTGTTCGTGATGTCGATGCTGAGGCACAGATCAACCTGGAACTAAGACAAGGAAACCACGTCGCACACAACATGGCAAGTCCAAGTCATTTGTCATATGAGTCACTGTTGTGTCGAGGGGGTGCACAAATGTGTGTGTTTAAGTGATTGATTGCTGTACTAACAAACACGTTTTTTTCACTTTGCTGCAGGTGGATGCAAGGTTAACGCCCCTGGCAGCAGTGGGGCTGGAGCGGAGTACACTGATACATGACCTCCGCCTCCATGGTGGGGTTGTGTATCCAGGAATAAGAGCACTGCCAGCGGAGAAGACTCGAGATACCCCGGCCCTCCCGCTCACTTATAACAGGGATGCACTCCCGGAACTCATTTACAAGCCCGATGCCTCTCTAGACAGTCGCAAGTCCACGAATGGATACCTGGGGCTTTACAAGGGCGCCCATCCAAGTCTTCATAAGCCTGTGCTGGTTCCTGGGGCTGAGGGTCTTGGTATAGAACGCAGAGTAGGACCTGGGGAGAAGGCTTCAGAGTTGAGTTTGGCTGGTGCTGGTGGCAGCTACCTCCGCATGCCATGGCTCAGTCCATACGCCGAAGCGAGCATGTTTCCCTTCATGGACACTTCCAAGTACGCAGCTCTAAACATGTACAAAGCTTCACTGCTCAGCCAGCCCAACCCGTATCTCCCCCAGCACCTGCCCTACCCACCTTTGTGTGCAGCCCAGGGGGCCAATGTTACCTCTGCTGCAGCTGTTTCTGCTGCTGAGAGGCTTTATTATATGCCTCCATATCCTCCCCCACCAATTTCTTCCTCCCTGGTGGCACCTCCCATGAGGATTCCGGCAGTCACGGTGGCCCCCACGTCGCTGGTACACTGCCAAGACAAAGGGCTTGGTGTTGCATCTCCCTTTGGACAGCAGCTTCATCAAGCCTCTCCTCATCCTCAGCACCATCAGGCAGCTATAGACAGAGAGCGGTCTCCGAGCAGGAGCAGCAGACCGAGCAGACCTCCCTCTAGGAAGGGCACAAGCAACAACAATAACACCAGTAGTACCAGTACTACTGGCACCAGTGTTGAGAATAATAACAGTCTGCCTGCTGATTCTTCTCATGTGACTGCTCGCCTCTCCCAGCCCCCCACTCTGCCTGCTCGCACTGATAAAGCACTGGATTTACAAAGGCCAGTTGCCCGGATAGGGCAACCATCCACCTCYGTGTCTTCAGTGTCTGTGTCATCGTCCTCCACGCAGTCCGTTCCTCATCCCTTTTCAGTTAACAGCATGGCATCGGAGCAGCCCTCCCCTGCCCGACCCAGCCCTCATAAGTCCAGACCAAGAGACACAGCCTCCGAGCACAGAGCTGCAGGGGAAAAAGTACGCAGCAGATCTCCTTCCAAAGTTAATTTTGAGAGGCCTGCTCACCAATCCCAAGCAACCAAAGACTCAGCAGAGAAGCCCCTGGATYTGTCTGGAAGAATGATGGACTTTGGGCTTCCTGCCAATGGATTTCCAGTTAAGCTTGACACAATGGCGTCGGGCGCACGTTACGCACTTCCCGCCAGCCGAGAGCTTCTAAAAGAAAACATGTCTCTCTCTCCCTCTTCTCATCCTCATTCTGTGGTCAGCAGCACTTCTTCAAATGTCTCTGAGAGGCCAGAGATGATAAGCACTTTACACTCATCCTGGATTGTACCGAGTCCGTCTCCCTCCCAGCACACAACAGGCTTGCCATCCTCTCCGAGGTCTAACACAGACCTGGGCCTTTCACAAGCCAAAGGCACCTCATCCTCAGTTATCAAAAACAAGAGCCTGGAGAGGGTTCTCCCTCAACAACGAAGCTCTTCTTGCCCAAGGATTGGAGACMCTAGCCAAACCGTTCCCTCTTCTCAGCCATCTGGTCCTTCTCTGATTAGCTCTAGGGCTTTTTCTCCCAAAGCTAGTGGGGAGTGGGACAAACATAGCCCTAGCCAGTCAGAGCTTCACAGAGAGGCAACAGAAAAGCCCTCCCAGGCTATTAAGAGAGGTGAACCAGCTCCAGATGTGTCATCATACAAGAGGCCATGTTTGGAAAATGGTCACCCCACTGCCCACATTTATCTTCCTCAGAGTGAAGCTTATCTGAACCCCAGCTTGGCTTATGCCAACAGATATCTGCAGTACCCCATCCCTGACAGCATGGCTATACACTCTGTGTCAATTTCAGGGAAAGGCCCGGTCTACCCTCCTTCAGTACTGCTGGGCAATAACAGCCTTTACCCAACACACTTGGCAGCAAAACACCCTTTACCCTACCACAACCTCCCCACTGGTTCAGGAGGGGAATACCTCTCTTATAACTCACAAGAGATGACCCATCCACTGATGCAGACACACCCTGACAACAAGCTGCCAGAGAGAGCAGATGCAACACTGAAACCCAGAGGACAGGAAAAGTCACGGGGGGCTGCTGAAGAATGTGGGAGCCACAGAGATCACAATACTGGGAAAGAGACAGGCGAAGGCAACCAAATGAAGCATGACAGGGAAGGACATTATGGCAATCAAAGCAAAAACTCCTCCTCGTCTGCAGCATCCAGAGAAAAGATTGTCTGCATTGACCTTGTACACTCAGACACAGATATTGAGTCTACCCCACCAGTCCACAAACAGCCTTCTGCCGAGGTTAGCAACAAGGTTAACCAAAATGAATGTCATACTAACCAAAATCTGATAAAGACTGACCGTGGAACAAAACATCAACTGTATCTGAGCCACTCTGAACAGAACCCCATTCTAAAGCCCGTCAACGGACAGCAGCAAACTCTTTCTGGCAAAGTGAGGGTTCCCCAAGACACAGCCTATTCTACACTGACAGTTAGTACATCCCATACGTCTCCAGGGGACGTCTCCCAAGCAGAGGACAGCTCAGAGGAGCGAAGCCTCAGCCCAGACCCTGGAGACCAAGACCAGAGCACCTTGCGTTGTGCTCGCACCTCAGGGGAGCGCAGCTCCGGTAAGGACAGAAGCGATGGAGCTCCTCATTTCACACATCACACTGCTAGAATCCTGGAGTCGTCGGACCAGGGTGAACGGGAGACTGACAAAGAGGACAGTATTGTTGATTTAGGGGAGTCCCATGGAGAGGGGGATGATGAAGAAGAGGAGGGTGGTCAGACATCATCTAAAAACTGTCGTAGATCCAGTTTGGCTAAAAGGATAGCCAACTCATCGGGCTACGTTGGCGACCGTTTTAAATGCGTCACCACAGAGCTGTATGCTGACTCCAGCAAGCTGAGCCGCGAGCAGAGAGCCTTGCAGGTAAGTCCAAGAAACATTAGATGCTTGTTCCTACACCATGTTATGTACCGGGCTAAGTTTGGCAGTGGGCAGACATTTCACACATCCCTGTTTCACTTTTTAAAAATTCTGTATGTAAGCGCACAGGCGTAAACCCAAACAGGCTTCTCTCTATTCCCTCGCTGCCTGTTGGAACTGCATGAAACTCGTGCATTTACAACTCAGTAAAATAATAAGTGCTGTCATGCTGCCAACCTGGCTGTAGATTCGATCATCCAGTTTTAGTTTATCATTGTCATGATTTTAGGCCCTCTTTCCAGGATGGTCAGTTCAAAGGTTAAACAGAACTGCCATGTCTGTATGTTGATTAGAAAGCAGCCATTGCAAAGGTCATTCTGTGAATGTTTGTGTGTCCGTATGTGCTCATCCTTGTGAGACTGCCTTTGGGCTAAAAGCATGTGTTTGTGCTGACTGTGCTTTGGAAACATATACAGTGGCTTCAGAGCATGACTGTGGCACCCTCACAGATCAGATCGCCTTTGGCTACATTTAACCCCCAGGTTAGGGGTGGTGGGCTTTCTTGCAGGGCACTTTAACAACTAACAGCTGCCCTTTTTTGGAGGGTTCATCTTAGGCTTTCTGCATGTGTGCCAGTCACTATCCCCCCCCACTAACTCTCCTCCCTCGATGGCCTGGCCTGGTTGCCGTCCAAGGTCATAATCCTCCTCACCCCGTTGGCTAAAGGACCTTGTCTCCTAACACGCAACACATGATCCCCATAAACTCAAAATTACACGCTCCTCCACTGTCATTTATTCGCTCAGATCGAGTCACTTGCTTTAAACTGTCACCTCTGCGATTTTCCTTATGTACAACGCTGGAAATCACAAAGAGGCTCTGTGTTTTATTATCCACTGGCTCTGAGGCAGATTTCTTAATAGGTTGCACATGTCTGTCTATGTTGTGAATGCATTTAGGGGAAAATGTGGTTTTTGTCTGTCATGCGTTTCCAAAAAAAAAAAAAAAGAATTAAATAAATTTACAGCTGCAACAAAGCTATCAAACACTGCATTTCTGGGAATGTTTAGAGTAAAATAAGGCCTGTTTGGATGCATAGGATGGATAAAAATATTAAAAGTGAATCATTTTCTGTTGTTGTTTTTCTAATTTGTTCCTTTCAGAAATGATTTTGAAAGTTTTGATGCAGTTCATTTTGATTGTCATTTTTGCGGGACTGTGGCTGCTTTTTTTGTGTGTATGTGTAAAAGAAATAATGTGGAGAAACAAATAAATTACAAAAAAAGATGAAATGCTGGACAGATATATTGAGCCCCCCCCATTCTAATTGCTTAGATGGAAGTCTTATCACGAGAGGGGAGTAATATAAGCCAACCTGCAGCTATCTGGGAGGTCAGTTCTTTATATTTCTTATCACATTTATCTCTGACAGGCTCTGTCTCTTTTTTGTATTCTGTATCGCTGCACACTCTTTCTTTTTGCCTCCCTTTTTGATTTCTCTCCTCTCTCTCTCCTCTCTGCCTCAGGGCTTAGATGTTTGTTTCCTAGCCATGTTTATGTTACAGGAAGGGAGATGCCAGGACTTAAGCCCCAGAGCGCATGGACTTACAAGTGGCTGCACTAGTCTAACCTGTGTCTTGATGCTTGTGATTTATCTGTCCTCCTTTTTGTCCTGTCTGTGTTTTGTTTGTGTGTAAATGGGTTTGATTTCTTTGACATTTTTCTTTTACATTAAGATAATGCGATTTTCTTATGCCGTTTTTTTTTTTTTGCTTCTGTAGCTATTGAAGTGAGTTTATTACACCTGTGTGTGTGTGTGCGTGTTTGTTGGGGTAGATGAGGGGTTTTCATGTGCCCTCTCTCTGCGTTTTCTGTGTGTGTTTACGCAGCGGGCGATGATGCGGTTCTCCGAGCTGGAGCTGAAGGAGAAGGAGGGCGGCGGCGGAGTGTGTGTCTCTGCCTCGGCAGCAGGACGGGAGCTGGCAGACGGCCAGCGCAGAGAGCGAATGCTGGAGCACTGCCAGCACACCGCCAGGCAGGCAGAGAGGGAGGGTGAGTCACACACACATACACACACATATACACACACAAATGTAGAGACTCACGCAAACAATAGGTGCGCGTGCACCACTCGCTCACGTGCACTCACAGCAAACGCTGAGGCAACACCAGGGTCACTCTAAAAAAAGACACTTCTCTGCACAAACACACAACTCTCACACAAGCCGAGCGGGCCGACGAGCGCAGCCGAGGAAGACGGCAAGGGGGAGTTTTATTTTCAAGAAGCCTTTTGTGCTTATCTGCGCTGAGAGATGGCGGGGAGGGGAGGGCAAGGGGAGGAGGGGAACGATTGCGTGAGTGAAAGCAGTGGGTGGATAGACGAAGGGGGGGAGCTTTAGTGGGTGAAAGCGGATGGGAGAGTGCAACGGAAAGAGGAGGCAAAGTGCGGGGTGGGGGTGTGGGGGGATACATTGGCTGGTAGCCCAGCTGTGTGTTGGAGCGAAGCCGTGGCTGACGTGTGAGCCTAATTATGGCGTGGAGAGACAGAGAGGGGGAAGGGGAGGGGCCGGGGTAGAGTCACGCTCTGTGTTAGAAGGGCGTGGTTCGGTCACACTGTGGGGGAGGACAGAGGGCCGTTGGAGGGTTGTAACGTGTGCAGCGAACGCTTTCTGCTCAGAAGCGTCTGGCCGCCGGCTCGCCTCACATCAGATTAAAAACTCTTTACCCCCATCAAAGTTTTATTGCTCGCCTTTAAAGCAGAATAAAAGCTGGCTGGTGTTTAACTGGCACTCTTCGTCTCTGTCATTCCCCCTCCGTCCCCCGGTCGCTTTTCTGTCTGCCTGCTTTGTGGTCTGTCTACATTCTCTCCTTTCATCTTCTTTGGCTCACCCCCCACCCCTTTGGTTCTTCTGTTTTGCTCAGGTGTCCGTCCAGTGTACACAAACAACAGAGTTCCAGTTCTCCAGAGGTGTGGGGCCCAGAGGGAGCCTTTGTCCCCAGCTCATGGGGCCCAAGATGGAGCCAGGAAGGCGATGAGAGAATCTGAGGACGCTCTTTGTATGCCACCCACTCTGACACCGTCAAAAGGATTCCTAGAGGAAAAGGTCGGCCCTGGCTTCGGACCCGCCAGGAAACGCCTACTCATCGTCAAGGCAGAGCAGGAAGACTCGCAGGATGGAGACCGGGCTTCCCACCCTGAGAAGAGAGTCAAGCTTTCAGCGGGTGAGAATTTGATAAGCAAGCCTCCTCACCCTCTCTTCCACCCTGTGCTGTAAATCACTTCCTCCTTTTCATCGTCTCTCATCTTTCATACTCGGCGCATCATTTTGTGTGATGTCGAGCTCCATCTAATTCCTTGTTCCTTTTTAAAAGAAAAGAAAAATCATCTTATTCATTTTTGTTGCCCCCCCCCCTTTTTTTCAATCAATCCCATCTTAAACCTGCTCCATCACAGCCCTTCCCACTCTCTGTCCTGTGTTTCGCTCTGTGTGGCAGCCAGCTCTGAGGAGTGTTTAATCCTGCCTTTGAGCGAAGCGCGCCAGAGAAATGAGGAAGAGAGGGACAGCCATTCGTTCTCTCTCCTCTTTCAGCTCTGCCTTTCCTCCGCTGCGCTTACCCGCCCTCATCAAAGCTGCTCTTTTTTTCTTCTTTTTCTTTCATCTCTTTTCTTTTTTTGCCCCCCTCATCTGTTTGGGTTTCTTTCTTTTTTTTCTGGCATGTGGTATCGTGCTTGCTCTCCCCGGCTCTGGCAGACAAGTCAAATATCCATCCCCTGTGAATTTTTAGGGGGGCAGAAGGCTGCCTCTGCTTCTCTAGTTTTTATTGCTTTGTTTCGGCTCGTTTCTGAACTTCACTCCTTTTTTTTCCATCTCCTCAGTCTGCTTTTTACATCCCAGCTTTTTTTTTCTTTTTGCCTGACTGTATTGTATGTTAAATGTAAGTCTTAGAGTTTTACTTGGAAGTAGTGCTTTATGAGTTGTTTCTTTGTGAGTTTTCAGGGAAGCCTGACATTATAGAAATGTTATTAGTGAATTTTAAGCTTTTAAGTCTTGTTTTGGATTTACAAAACCAGCTTTTTCAAGTGGGGTTCTGTGAAACAATAAAGAGCTATTATCTTACCTGTTGTAGATAAGCTATTTGAACAACCTCAGTTTGGAGAAATGGTTTACAGTGTTTCCCCTACCATTATAC